TATCAGTTCTTTTACTCAGATAACTGAGGGGACAACTCAATTAAGCCTGGCTTTTCACGTTGATTTTATGTAGTAGATGTGGATTATGAGAAGAATAAGTTTGTCGATTATTAACTCTGAGCCTGTTAATAAGATAGCATTTGAGAGAATAGATGAACTGGAAAATGAAAACGTCCAAAGCAGAACGGACTTGAATTTTTATATATATATATATATATATATATATATATATATATATATTTATCTTGGCACCCAGTAAACAATGAGCATCTTGAGAATGATTAATATAACCATGCTTGTTACTTGACAGATCAAGGAAATTTTTCATGTTTCTTATTACTCTATTCTCAGAAAAATTTTAACACCAAAAATTTCTGAAAATCTATGTAAAACCTCTTGACTATCATCCATTCTTAATTTCTGACGATAAGTACACGTTTTGATCCTCCGAGTATCTACTTTAATATGAACTTCCAGCGTTGATATAAATTTTGTCTTTCATTGAGTATACTTATACCTAATATGTTTGGGTATTTCGACGTGGTGTAATGGCTACTAAGTTTGTTTTGTTAGATCAATTACGACTGAGTAGTGTAGTCCCGATCCTCACTGGGTGCTCCACATTTTCGATCTTGTGCCACATCTAAGTTACACTTAGAAAATCACCTTATGGTCACATCCTAGTTTTAACTTACAGGTCAAAATTTAAGGATGAAAGTTGACTGGTCTGCCAGGTTAAAGTGTGTGTTGCACCTATGCTGATTTTCAAGACTGGCATGAAACCATCTTCATCCACCCATTAGACCTTGTGTAATTGGTAAACTTTGTAAATATTAAAACGAAGGCTGACTTTAATGCTCTTGCATTCATGTGGAAGCTATGTCAACGTTAGTCGAGATCTGATTGCTCTCGGCTGGGCCCATTGGAGAGAAAGTCTGATGTTATAGAGCTCTGACATTTTTAATATGCCCAGAATAGACATCATCGAAGAAGCATTCTGGTGCACAATATATGAGTATAAAACTGACATAAGCATTGTTAAGTTCTATCTTAGGATTTCTGATACTTTCAGGTGTAGAAACTTCATTTTACACACGAGAATAAAGATTTTCACTCTAGAAGAAAACACGTTCTACTGATATGACTCAACTAAAAACTGACATCGTTTGCAAGAGAATGTGTCATACTAACTTACCAAAAGAGCCGATTTGATGTGACGTACGTCAGATCAGTAGTATAAGTTTTGTTTTCATTGGAAATTCAGTTCTGGTAGCCAGGAAATGGGTAATATTGCATCCATTGTCTCATCCATGACACGATCCGATTAAGACTTAGATGACAAGATCACTTACCAAGTGAGAATTGAACTAATCTTGAATGGCTTGTAAACACACTAACCACCGCCTAACCAAATGATATTTACAATCACAAGTACTCAGATTTACCAACTGAGTATCACAGAACTTGTATTGCACTAGTTTCTTGTGTAAGGAGTTAACTCCGCATTTCTGAAAACTGATGTTGGGTCAAACTCGCAATCATTTATTCTATCGAGTTGGGATTCATGTTATTTGCTGCGTGTAGTCTGAAAATTTAGGGACAAAAAGAAGAAAGGTGAACTTTGAGTTTGAAGCCAGGACGGCACAATTATTTTACCTGGTAACCAATCGTATCAACGAGAGTTAAACTACAATTGGATATACGAATTGTCGGAAATGATATGGATATTGGCTGATTTAGACTTACACAAACATTGCAAATATAAACAGTTGACTCTTTCAATCATCATAAAAATTGGCACCTGCATTAATTAAAACTATGACTGGGGAAAAATTGTAGTAAACAAGATCAACGTATTGATTATTCCATGTTTTTCTTAGCAAGGCTACAGGTGTGGAATACCGAGTCAAGATTGAATTCTCTACAGTAGTAATAGTATGCAATACGAGATTACCAACCATTACTCCACAAGTCTATCGGAAAATAAACTTATTTATCAACTTGCAAGTTGGGTAAGTTACAACTCGTCTTTATTTACATTATCCAAATACGCAACTAAATCATGTTTAAGAGGTTACATTTAGATTAATATGATCTTCCTTAAAAAACTGTACTCTTGAGTAAATTAGATCTACATATTCTCCGATAATAATCCGTCAATAAAATGAATAAGTATGTGTGTGAGGAACATGCGTGTTTGGACAATACACAGGTCGCGCCGTCTTTTTTGGCTTTAGAAGTTCCCTTTTTAAGGTAAAGACAAGTCTTGTTCTTATGGCTCTGTCTACCTTAACTGACGTAATTTATCAATAAATAATGATACAAAATAATATAAGACTAGGTGCCATTTAGATTAATAAGCTCTTTCGAGAAAAAAAAAAAACAGGAAAATCATACGCTACTTTTATTAGGAAATAGCGAGAAACGAAAAGGCTGTTCGTAACACGCAGCAACAATTTTTACATTAACTGAAAGAAAGCTCGTACTCACTGGATAAAAGTTTACAAATACGCAATGCAAGAAACTCTTCGCTTAGACTCGGACACCAACTATGTGCGGAGTTGAAAATAACTTGTCATACGCACACACATTTTAAATAATAGAGCGGAGAGAACACAAAAAATTACAAAGGTTAACATTTTCCTATTTACAAATTTAAACATTGTTCAGATATTAACATTACAAACAGTAATATGAAAGTTGCTTTTTTATTGACTTAACTAAGTTTGGTACAGAACGTTTTTGGAAAGGCAACACACCCACCATTGAATTTAGTAGGCCTATCTGAATCAGTAACTTTACCAGGAAAAGTGCACTATGCACAAATCATCGAAATCATAGCAAACTAAAAATAAAACGAAACCTAATTCATGCATGAAGTTTTTGCATATTTAATACTCTATTTTGATTGATGATAATTTCTAATTTTTTGTAAAAAGCGGATAACACCTCGAATGAAAATGATCGATTCATTAAGTAAAGGAAAGCGGTTTTAGTTTTTGCCCGTAAGTTAAAGATGGGGTTAAATTCATACTCCTTATACTAGAACATTGGCTGAGTGCGACAAAGAAAAATATGTTCTTATTCTAGGAGTAACTTCATTTTCAGATCATCATATAAAATAGCATTAATACAATAGCTGGCTAATAGGTCACTACTATGTGATTCAAATCTAGTCATATATCATCGCCAAAAAGTGGAATTGATTATTTATCCAACATATTTAATGTTTTTCAAGGAAATGTCTTATTAACAAGACGTCTAATAGACGAGCGGTAAGAAATATCTATAGATATTACTCCGTTGTCAGAGTTACCAAGAAGACAGAGTTTCAAAACAAGGCATGAGTCAGGGGAGTAGGCAAGGAAGAGATCAAGTAAAGAAGCATGTACGCCAGAATTATTGGGGTAATGTGTAGGGAAATTTGAGTGAGAGATTGAGAAATTCAAAGTCTAAATACCGGTGAGATCAGTAGAATTAGAGCCACTTGACATGATGAGGATTGAAGTCAACAAACACAAAGGTATTTGCAGATGAATGTAGAGAGAGGGCCATATCTATACTGTTAGACATTCTAACAAGCAACAGACCTGAGGAGAAGGGGACGATAAAAGAAGAAAAGATAACTAACCGAGTTTAATAAAGAAAGTCGGAAGCTCATATAAGAAAAGTCGGAAACTCCCTTGTCACTGGCAGATTTTCACGACATCAAGGCTATGCATGTGGATCTTAGAATCCTTTCAACAGAGAGGAATATAACCAGGGACAGAGAATTCTGTGGTAGAAATTGAAGATTACCAGAGAGCTACGATGTCTTGAGAATGTTCCACGTGAAACGATTCTACACTACTGAAATTGTAACGAATTTCTGGAATTTAATGGTATTTAAACGCTATTATGATTTTAACATGCCGTAGAAAAGATTAAGCTTTTTAATAACTGTATTCTAATACGCCCCCAACACGCATCTATATATATATATATATATATATATATATACATGTGTGTGTGTGTGTGTGTGTTAAATAAATAAAATGTTATCTTCTCCACAAAAAGTTTCGCAGTCTGTATCTGATGAGTGAAATTTGCGAAAATTTTGAGTTGGGAAGTTTTTAACATTTTTTGTTTGTTTTATTTCTTAATATTGAGCATTTTATTTGCAAAGACTGCTTATCTTAAAAGAAATACACTAGTCGACTTTTTTCTGGCGAAACACAATGCACTTTTCCATCCTTCTATGCACCACTAGAAGTATTCTTCTTGGATGACCCTCAGCTCCGTCATTACGGCTCTCTTGATGACCTCCATGCCTTTACAACGAGTCTCCTTGATGATTCCCTTGAGCTTTGGGAAAAGAAAAATGTCACACGGAGCAAGATCAGCTGAATATAGAGGTTGTTCTAGTACAACGATGTTGTTCTCGGCGAGGAACTGCCGAATGTTTCGGGTGTTGTGAGCAGGTGCGATGTCATGCTGAAGCAGTCACGATTTGCCCTACCACAACTCTCGTCTCTTCTCTTGCACTGAGCGAAGCAAACGCCACAGAAACTCTTTGTAGACTTGCTGATTCATCATCTGGCCCTGTGTTAAGAACACTCTGTAGACGATGCCTCTCACATCGAACGTGATCAGTCCCGTTACTTTTCAGACAGACCTCGTATACATACATCATAATAAATAAAAATAATGTTCCTAATGCGAGAAAACGGACTTCTTAAACGACATTTCACAACAAAAATGGGGGGATGAGAAAAGCAAAAAAATATTACCGCAAACCGTAAATATTTATTTTTATTTTATATTATTTTTTCAGAGTACTTTCGAATGTTGTTCCATTCGTTTTCAAGAATTGTGTTTTGTGTATGTTTTAGTAAATGTTTTTGCTTAATTCATGTAAACGTTCAAAATGGAATTAATTTTTTAAACGCACTTCACTATACGATATCCTATGGAGAAAGATACCTTATTTAATGCTAGGTAATTCTCTTTTATTATAACAGCATCTATCTATCTATCTATCTATCTATCTATCTATCTATCTATCTATCTATCTATCTATCTGTATATATATATATATGATATATGCGTGTGTGTGTGTGTGTAAAAATAAATATGAATTTCGACAAATTTACCGATTACATAAAACAACTAATTTGGAAATTTGAAAAAATTAGAAGCATTTGACAGATAGCACTTTTAGGAATTATTCAAACAAACATGTCTGATATACACACACACACACACACACACACACACATATATATATATATAGAGAGAGATAGATAGATAGATAAAAATCCGTGGATAAGTAATGCAAGTGATTCCTAATAATATAAAATATTAAAAGTGATCCACAAATAGAGCCCAATGTATTTATTACAGAGCATATGTAAATAAATTACAAATAAATGAAATTAAAAAATGCCCCATCTGAATGGCCATTTTGCTCCGCAGGAGCTTGTCAAATATTAATTGCCTCCACCCTTGTATCAGCGGTTCAGGATGGTGGTGATAGAGATCTATTGATGCAGAGAATATTTTCTTAGCATACACTGGGACCCTTGGTGCCAATAAAAGACCGTTTACAAGCCACAACCTACCTAGATATTGCGGCTGACCACGTTTCTCAATTTATAACAACAGTGTGGACAATTCCGGCCCGCCGGCAACGCACAGCGTCACAAATAAAAAATTAGTGGCAGATTGGTTCATGGGATGCAGCAACGGGTTTTCTGCGTTAAAGTGTGTCCTCTACAGTCACCGGATCTACATCCGACACAGTATCTCTGGGATATGGTGGAAATGAGGATTTGAATCCTGAATGTGATGCTAGCTTACGACCATGTCACGTTGAAACATCGGTTCTCATACGATCATTGAAGTTAAGCAACGTTGAACTTGGTCAGTAACAGGGTGAGCGTTCGGCAATACCTGGTGCTCTAAACTTGGATGTGCGAGCGGTGTAATGAATATCGGCTCGGAATGAGAAATCGGAGAGCCGTGTTCCAATTTCAGTCGGGTTCGATACATTCACTTACGTGCAAACACGCCTGGGAAAGGGTATGAATATATCTCTTCTCCTCCCGGCTATGGGCTAAATTATAAAACTTGTATTAGAAGATCATTATTATCTCCAAATAATCCTTATAATTCCAAAATATGTTTCGGCTTTAAATATTCTTAAAAATGTTGACAAGCCGTAAAAAAACAAATCAATCAAAATGGATGCGCTGGTAACCAATCTAGAAGAACTGCGAGATCCATAATAACAGCACAGAACAAAATTCCCAAAGAGTGCTTCCAGAACATCATCGAATCCATGCCAAGAATACAAGTGTATACACACACACACACACACACATATATATATGTAAATATTGTTAATACTGCTAATTATAAACAGCATTTACTTAAATATTTGTATCTATAAAATAACGTATAAACAGAATATATATATATATATACAACATATGAACTATGAAGACAAAAATGCTGTCAGTCAGTGGGATACTGTGAGAAAAGACATTTAAGTCCTTGGTATCAGATATAGAGTATTAATAGAATTAATACAGATGTAAAGTTTGTCACTTAGCTGATTGGTGTTACCTACAGCATCCCGACTCTAGAATTTCGTAGACGGACCCTCCAACAATCACTCCATACACTCGGCAGGGGTATCAGCAAATATATATTTATATATGTATACGTGTGTTTGCGTGTGTGTGTATGCCTGTATTACTGTCTTCAGCCACTTTAAACTATTGTAAGTCTCTATAACAACCAGCTTATAAGTGGATGTTTCACTTTAAGTTTTCTGTACATGAAACATTCACCCTATTCTCATGTCAAATTATGATATTTTTCGGTACTGTTGAGAAAATATTTGCAAATATCTTTTCACAACGACACAAGCATTTCCTAAATATAATCGAAATTTTTCCATCGAATTCCATTATTATTTTCATTATTTTAATGCTTGGAATCATAGCGGAACTCTTAAATTCAAGAGGCGATATTTCAGAAATCCTCTCGAAGTTTCAAAGTACTGGACGTGTTTCTGATCAACCAAGACGTAGACACACCCAAAAGCTTCAGCAGGAAATAGTACAGAAACTGATCAGTACTGCAAAAACTCAACCACAAAGAATGCATATTTTTTCTTAAGGGTTGTGGCGGTTGGCAAGTGTCGAAAAGTGTCTTAAATCAAATTGGGAAACATGTGAGACCAATCACTAGACATCCTTAAAAGATATCCATTAGGAAAATCAATTAAAATGGGCACTAGAATTAATGGAGACTGATTTTTCAGCAATTCTTTCCATTAATGAAACGTGCTATTTTCGATGGGCCAGACGAGTGGTGTAAAATGTAGATAGTTACTAGCAAAGTCTGGATAGTTGCTAGATAGTTACTAGCAGATACTAATCTCTCGGGTTGAAACGTTAACGAGGCGGAAGTAGTGTGATGGTTTGGCGTGAAATATATAAGTGGTGGGCCGATGAAAAGTTCCAGATACAAAATGATTTTTTGAAGGTAAACATAAGGCCATGCTTCGATAAACCAAAGACTTATTTTCATAAATGACCTTCCCGATGTCATCAGTTCTCAAATGCTGATAACTATTTACTCTTGTCTTAATGGTATGTGTGATCGGTTCGATAAGGTGAAATTGGCAGCTGGTCTAAAAAAATGATCTACATTTTGTTGTTAATTTGAATGCATCCAAAACGAAACTGTGCTCTTTTAATCGTCTGAGAAAACCCTTTTTATTTTCCATCAGCAGGGCTGATGTCAACTTCTCAGCGTAACCTTTTCCGCTGCCATGATTATATTGAATCAATTCCTAGGTTTGCTGTTAGTTCATTGTGTTGTGTTTGACAGTTATTCTCGCCATCTTACATATTTATAAGTTTACCATTCGTCCATGCATTGAATGTTGTCACATTTGGTTTGGTAGTACAACTATGAATTAGGGACTCTTGATAAAATCCGAAGAAGAATCTGTAATTTTATCGGTCTTGACCTGGCATGTTGGTTTCAACCGGCTTTCCACCACTGTAATGTAGTTTACTTGTACTTATTTTCATAAAGATTTCTATGTTAATTGTTCTGATGAGCTTTCCTCTTTGGTACCTCGACTTGTGCTAGATTGACAGCTAGGTTTCATCATTTTTCATTTGAAATAAGCTAGATGCAACCGTACGTTTTATGTTAACAGTTTCTTCTCTCGCACTTCTCGCTTGTGGAACTCTCTTCAGCTCTCTTGCTTTCCAGATTTAAATACACTGCCAATCGTTACCTTTTCTCTTCTTACTTCCTGTTTTTTTTTTTATTGTTTTCTCTCCTTAATAATGTTTTTCTTTTAATAATGTTTCTTCTTTTTCTCATATTCTTCCACACCCAATAACCCCTTGCGTCTTAGTTGCCTTATTGCCTTGCTTGGGAGTGAAATGATTAAAAAAAAAACTCTCATAAAATGACAATGCTCCCTTGCATTTGTTTTGGAAAATTAATGATGTGAATAAAATGTATTTCAAAGTCACTCAATTGATCGCGTGACCGGCTTTTACGCCCGACCATAACCCGATTGAAAACCTGAAGGGCTTTCTCAGTGGGGGAGATTAATATTGGTGGACGCTATTTTACCAGCATATTTTACCGTATATTTCCGCGTATAAGGCGACCATTAAATTTTTAAAATGACCCACCAAAATAGAGGGTTGTCTAATGCAACAGTTACAAAAAGTTGACCTGTGGTGTGTCGGCACTGATATGTAGGCTAGTATGTTTGCACCATGGATCGCGGTAGGCTAACTTATTTCTAGTTGAAACTATTGACATTATAATGCTGTAGTACAGGTATAAATGTAATAAAACTGCTTTTACATCTTAATTTCACATTAAAATGCGATATTCAAGGGACGATTACACAACAATTTGCTAAAGTTTCCCAAAACGCACAAATAACAATTATCCTAAACAAATCTTCCGTGTTTGATTTGTAGAGCTATAGGTGCATTCGCATCAATCATTATTTCTCGTGGTATTTTAGGATAAAATAAAATCTATATTTGTAATTAAAACTCTTTATCATTTTGGGGTTGAATAACAACATAAAAATACCGTAAAATGAATGGTATTGAAAAATAAAGTTTGCATGTTATACTAATAATATGCAAATTTTACTTTTCAGTAAAATATATTATACAGTATTTTTTTTCGGTGTTAAACAAAATATTTATTTCTCATTACAGAGTTTTCGGTTGTCTTATTTTACGGATATGAGAGAAAATCATGAAAATTTACCTAGATTTTATATCTCGTCTTATATATCATTCAGTTATGTGCAATGCATGATACACGCTTAGGCGTTCTCGAAAGATACATGACTGACGAGGCAAATTTTTCCGCAGTAGATTACCGCAGTAGATTTCTTTCTGCGGTAGACCATTTGCCATCCAAGGCTATAGAACTCGGTCTGTCCTGATATTTATCCGTAGCTGGGTGGGAGAAGAAAAAGATTCATACCTTTCCCAAGGGTAATAACACATAATTACTCCATCGTCGCCTTATACGTGGAAATATACAGTAACTTCATAGTGCCATTCTGGCTACTGTGCAATTAGTTTCATATGAAGAAACACAATAAGACTCAAAATCAATGGAGGAACAACTTTAGTTGATGAAAAAGATCTAGTTCATGGAGAATAAATTTCACATTAAAGTTGTCATAACATTGTTGGTATTACCTTGACACCGCTTTCAATTTTTCTTCAAAACATGATTTTGTAAACTCTTTAATTTGTAAACACTCTGTAATTATAATTTTTTTTTTAAAATTCTAGCGTGATGTTTTTAGTGCTTCAATAACTTAGCAAATAATGTGGAACTTGGAAAATCCAGTAAAATTTATAAAACTGTTGCAACATCTCAAGATTGACATAAAGACTACCATAATTTAACCCATGGGAAATGTATGAATCCACCTCTTACCCATCCAGCTATGGATTAATTAGTAAGGCTTGTATCACGAAACCATTATTATAGATTTCCCACATACC